GTACCGCCGTGTAATCCATTTATTTCAACAAAGTAACTGTATTCTAAATACCACCTTTTTAAACGGTAACTGTAACGGAATACAGTTACTCATATTTTATATTTTAAATACGTAACGGCGGTACATGTATTCCGTTACTCCCCAACACTGCTTGCAGCACAGCATACATTCACATAGAGATAATCACTGTAAAGGCATTTACTGTATATTCCGCCTGATACTGACCAATCAGTATTCAGTATCTTGAAGCTTCTACCGTAGCTCAAAAAAAACAAGTCATAGCCTTCAAAAGACTAAATCTACAAGTGTGTTTCTGAAATAATATTTGGGAAACTGCCAGCAGGATGAATGGGGACTGCAGCAGATGGCTGAAAGTAACTATCAGGCGACCTTGTGAAGAGATCAGCTTTTATCAGATCTCTGATAGCTCTGGCCAGGATGTAGCTGTAGCCACAGCTATCAGGTCTAGTTGCCGGCTCTGATGTGTCACACAAGTAGTAAATCTGTTAACTGTTAGATGTGTCATTTTTAAGCATAGCTGAAAGTGTCATGTCATTACACAAAGCCCGTTTTTCTTTCTTTTTTTTTTACACAATATCTTCTAATGGCAGTATTTCAGAAATTGCTGACCTACTGGGATTTTCCCACATAGCCATCTCTAGGGTTTATGGAGAATGTTCTGAAAAAGAAAAAAAATATGCAGCAGTTTTCTGGGTGAAATGCCTTGTTGATGCCAGAAGTTAGAGGAAAATAACTATACTTTTTCAAACTGAAAAAATGGCAAGAGTAAGTCAAATAACCATTTGTTACATCTGTGGTATGCAGAAGAGCCATTCCAAATGCACAGCACGTCAAACCTTGAAGCACATTGGCTAGAGCAGCAGAAGCCCTGACCAGGTGTCACTCCTGTCAGCTAAGAGCAGATAGGTGAGGCTACATGTTGCATTGGCTCAATAAAATCATACAATAGAAGGAAAAATCTTTCCCGGTTTGATGAATTTTGATTTCTGCGGCAACATTCAGTTTACGCAAACTGAAAACATGGATCCATCCAGCCTTTTATTAACAGTTCTGGCTGCTGGTGGTGGTGTAATTTGATGGGGGATACGGAGCCCAACCTTCAGGGTCCTTAGTGCCAAATGAGCATCATTTAAACACCACAGCCTATCTGAGTATTGTTTTTATGTCCATCCCTTTATGACCATAGAACATGCATCTTCCAATAGCTGCTTCAAGCAGAAAGCAGCAGACCATGCCACAAAGCTCACACCATCTCCAACTGGTTTCACACACAGCAGTGAGTTCTTAAAGGGCCTTGAAGTCACCACATCTCAGTCCAGTACAGTACCTTTGTAGTGAAGTGGGATTTTTGCATACATGAATGTATAGCTGACGTCAAATCTGTGAGGAGTGTTTCCATCGTTTTGTCGAAATGTTTCAAATCTAGATCTAGTTCTGAGGGCAGGAGGAGATTCAACCCAGTGCTATCAAGTTTCTGCTGAGTGTGCAAAAGCCACCAAATTTGAGTGTATAGAATGAATTGCACATTAGCTGTTTATCCCGATGCCAAATGACATTTGTCATTGTGAGAAAACCCTCATGTAGCTACTGCCAGTGGCATGCTGACGGTGTCTTTCACCATCAGTTTTCTTTTCATTCTATAACAATAAGACGTGCACAAAATTAACCGTGTGGCTTTCATTTCACACAAATTAGCTTCATTCCTCTGCTTTGAAATGTATCCGTAGTGAAACTGCAGTGCGTAAGTTAATGAAATCAAACATAATATTTACATTTACCACTCTCTCTTAAACTTTTCTGTTTAAGAAATTGATTGATATTTTGTGGAGAAAAACACAAAAAAAACATTGCTGTCTAGCTGAGAGTTAGATGGGAAGATCAATACCACTTTCATAACTGCCCATTAAATATGAAGGTAACACCAAGAGATAGATAACAGCATAAAGATGAGAAATGGGGAGAACAATTAGTCTAGGTTATTTTCCAAAATTGTCTACCAGCACCTCTAAAGCTCACTAATCATCTCGTTATACCATATCTCATTTGTTTAATCCATATAAAACCCAGATTGTAGAAGCAGTGCAGGGCTTCACAGGCATTATATGCTGGTGCATTTCACCCCCGGGTGCACTGAATTACTTTATTGTATTTACTAGCTGCCTAATCATTTCATTGTGGCAGCAAGAAACCAGTGTTGCTATCTGTGTATATACATATCACATGTAAATGATAAAGTAAGTGTGTTGGATCTGCAGATATTAGTAAGCCTCAAAAATAAGGTAAACGTCACCTGGTTGTAGGTTCAGAGCAATTTTAAAATGGATTTTAAAATGGCCTCAATCTCTTCTTTTCGATAAACAAACCTGTGTATGTTGGCAACGATCAAGCTGTTTCACCAAAGAATCGTGATGATGCCATGGAGTCACCAGGGAATTTTATAATTATCCAAAGTCTTTAGTGGATAATCTAAAGAACCACCGTTTTTATATATCTAGATTATTTTTTTCTCCTTCACTGTTGGTTCCAAGACACAGATTGGGGTAAAATTAAGACTAGGATAACATATAGTGTCTAAGTAAGGTGTGATGCCACCACAACAGCTCCAGTCACAAATCATAGGATAAAGTTGATCAAGTTGACTCAAGTTAATTGTGATTCAGTGATAGTGATAAGAGGATAAATAGACCCAAGGCACACCAGAAAAAGCCCCGATCACAGCATAGCCACGACACTCGTCATTGCACCGATCAAATGTTCAGGCTGTGCCATTCCTTTGGTGCACAGCAGTGGTTATGGTCTTATTACATCTTGTATTGAAACTTTCAGTCACCATAAGAAGAGTAGCTCTTGCATACTGCACTAATGCCCAAACATCAGAGTCACTAAATGGGTACAACCATAATTTCTGACCCTAGTTATGTACTTGTGTCTTTTTGATAGCTCTAAATACAAATGTAACAATCTGTAATTTAGTCACTGTGCTATTGAAGCACTTATGAATAATGAAGTCTATGGGACTGAAAACATTAAACCCTCCTTGAAAGTCACTTGCAATCTTTTTACAAAATCTGAATCAATTGTGCCTGCTCAACATTTTTAGAAATCCAGTGGAGCATGCTAGGATAATAATTGCATAACTATACAATAATGTGTTGCACCTTTTCTGCTTTTTTCCCTTGAATTTTTATACCTGTCTCTATCTAAAGTAAGGTAATAGTGCCTGCGTGTCTTCATTGGTTAGACCCCCTTTCTTTTAACCATCACATGTATAGAGATTCCCCCTGTGCAGCCACAGACTGTGATGACAGAGAGATAAAGCATTCTTCATTTCCCATGAACAGGGCTGAATGTGATATCATTTTATAGAGGTGTATCCTTGAAGTCCGTAATATACAACCATGAATAACATCCTTATTTTGATTATGAACGGTTCTTCCGATAGATCAAATAAACCAGCCATGGCCAAGTATATCAGAAAGCCAACTCAGACAGTTTGAGGAGCACATCAGTAAAATTATTGAGATTCTTCATGTCAAGTGACAGCACCAGTGTGGTTCTGAGGATTCTCTTTGAAGATTTATTTCCATGTTTTTGATCTCAGCCCCGATTTTAATGAGAGGGCATGGAGGGATATTTGTTACCACATGAAGCTTAGTGGGAAAATACACAAAAACCGAAGGTGAAGAGGTTTTTAAGGGATCGGCCACATGGATATATATTGTAGAAACATGTTATGTGTGTTAATCTTTGTGCTTGTATAAGCTCGATGTTTGCTTGATGTATTTTTAGTTTAGTTTGTGTGTGTGTGTGTGATCTTCTATACTGATACCCAGTAATATTCTCCCTTTTCTGTAATTTCATTGCATGCCCTTTGTTCTTTATGTATTTTCCTTCTCCAATGTCTTTTCTTCAGAACCCCTCTGATTGCAGCAGGGGTAATCGGAGGACTCTTCATGGTGGTGATCATGGTACTCAGTGTAGCAGTGTCTGTGCGACGGAAGAACATTAAGAAAAAGAGGGCCCTTCGCCGCTTCCTGGAGACAGAGGTAAACAGGAAAGTGGATTAAGTTTAAAAAAAAAAAAAGCTGATGTTCCAGCAAGAAAGAGCATGCTGTTTGTTGCACTGAAAGATAATCAGAAACTAAGGACATAGGTTAAGTTACCTTGGCCCAAATTATGCTAAATGTTTTGTGTCAACAGAGATCTTATAGTATACGCCTCTGAAATTGGATCCCATTAGCGCAAATAAGTCTGCCATAGTTTTAAAGAACTAAAAGTAAAATTTATTACTTTAATCTTGGCTCTGTTTCTCGTATTTGTTTCCCTCTAATATGCCATGGTACTGTTATGCCTGGAGAAGATTACATAATCAAATTACAGGCTACATTGCAATTGGATTTATCAGTAAGTAAATACACCTGATTTTGTCCCCAAATCAACACGTTATCACAAACCATCCTTCCAGACTTTGAGGAGAGGTTACAGTAAAATGACCTATTCAGAAGAAAACAACAAATGTCAATAAATAAAGAAATGTGGATATATCTTTGTTCACCAGGAAGTGCAAAATAGACAAATGAAAGTTTATTGCTGTCTACATCACCCCTACTGCTACACCTTTCACTATAGTGAGCTTGTTGTGTTTAATTTGGGAAATGTAGGCCATTATTTATTAAAATGCGTCGATTTTTCCTTGTAAATGTATTCAGTCATTTCAAAGTTGATTGGAATTACGTACCAGTGTTTGGTTCATTAGTTAGTTTCCTCCTCTCAGACTCATTAATTCACAATCACAGAGCAAATGGATGGAAATGGTCTTCTTCACAAGATATTTGTTTTGCTTTTGAAACATATTACACATTGCTCATTATTTTAAAAAATGTAATGCACTATGTTACTTAATTAGTCTCCAGAGAAAATAATTTGTTACATTACTTTTGGAATACTTTTAATATGACCTAAGATAAATTGTCACATAATTACCATTTAAGACTATAAACCTATCTAACAAATGTTCCCATCATAATGAACACACATGTACAATGTGTCATTCTGTGCAATAAAAGTGTTTTGTTGGGTTTTTTTTTTAAAGAAAGCCTTCATAATGCCACCGTCGTTACTACAGTGCAATTCATGACATTACTTTGTTATGTCAAAATGCGTAGACATAGGAAATATATATGGATGTGACGTTTTCCTTTGTATGTGCTTGCAGGCCTGTGCTTGTGCAAAATATGAGAAAAACAAGACTGAAAAAAGCAAAAAGAAATAAAATAGAGACTGACTGGTGGATTCTAAATAACTATTGCAGAACTGTAGAAAGTTTTAGAAACTCTGACAACTCAGGTTTGAATATCCTACAGTGCATTATAGGGGCACTTCTTTTAGGAAGAGCTAAGGGAGTATACCATTAGAAGAGGCAAAAGTACTCTTTCTTTATCTAAAAAAAACCAGAAGAGTACTTCATCTAATGTACTTATGTGTCCACACTGAGAATAAGGTCTCATTTCAGTGCTTTTCTCTATTCAGGGCACAAGTATCAGTGAAGAGTCTTGAAGAAAAAAAATAGCATTAAGATGATAAATTATTATACTTCTTTTATACCCGTTCATATTTGGTCCACCCTTAAACTGCCACTATTTCTTGAGTACTTACATTAGTCTCTTTTTAGTAGTCATACATAAATTCAGGCACTATTTTAATATATTACAGAGCCTTTCGTGTTACATGTCATGTATTTAATAAAAAATACTGTATTTATGGCCCAGTAATTGTATTAGATGCTCCAAAAGTAGTGGCTGGCTCCAAGGACAGATAAAGAAATAGAATGCAGGAGCAGAGAAGGAAATGGGAAATTGTTTTTTCTCTTTGAAACCATCCTGTCTTAATTTGTTTCTGGGCTGCAACAAAAAAAAGGATAATATTTCTTTAATTTTTAGTATTTACATTAAATTATGCATTTTATGTAATTGCAGGGAAAGTCTTATATTGCAGGTTCATTGATTAATAGTCATTTGCTTAAAATAAAGTCCGAAACTAGTTAGTTTTCAGGCACTGCGCATCAGTTTCACCCTAATCATATCACTATATTTCAAATAATTTTAGACTTGTTAAAAGAAAATGTTGATGGACTATAGATCTAATCAGATCAGTCTGCACGTGAAATGTTTGTCTAATGGTTTTAATGTCATTTTGCCCAGCTCACCACATTAATAGAATAGCAACATATAAACTGCTTAAAACAATGAAGCAACACTTGAGCAATTTAATTTAGATTTTTGGTATGATTTTGAATTTAGTCTGCAAATGACTGAGCACTTTAGAGTCCACTAACCGTTGTTTTCAACAAATTACATTATTTTACTTACTGAATTTGAGTGCAATATTGCGGCAGGATCCCTTTGTTACAATAAGACAATTCACAAAATTCTTTTTGCTCTCAGATATTCCACAATCACCTGTTAGTGGAATTATTTTAGAGTGGAAGCATTTGCATTTAGGAACTGCAGCAACTCAACCACAAAATTGAAGACAACATAAAGTTACAGAGAAGGGTCGCTGAGTGCTGAGGTGTGTTGTGTGTAAAGGTTGCCATGGCTCTGATGATTCAATAATTGCACAGTGGCAAATAACATCAACACAAACACCGTGCACCGAGAGCTCCATGGCATGGTTTCCATGGACCTTGGACCCCCTGTATTTTTGCACATATAGTGTATGTAAACTTAAATATTTCATTCCTCAAGATCTGATATGTGGTGTGAATATTTTGGTCAGTATGTTTCAGGCAGCACTTGCTTCAGTTTCAGAAATGCTGTGTAGAGAGAGAAGGTGGATAGCTACATTTGCTGCTGTTCGGCTGCTACACAGCCTCAACATCTTCAGCACCACTTATGCTGGACAGCTCCCAGCACAGTGGAAATAGCATAGAGCTTTGCCTTTGTGTGTGTACGGTTAGATCATTTTAAAGACGTCTGTATTGTCCTGGGTGTGTTTGTGGCCCCCCAGCCTACTTGTTTCCACCCTGCAGAAGCTGATTTGTTATTCCATTTAAATGAAGAATGGCTATTGTTTTTAATCAAATGGTAACCATAAGCCAGAGGGACAGAAGCTGCCAAGCACAGCCAGGCTGATTTACACTCTGTCTGTTAGGCTCTCTCTGTCCTCTCTGCCTCTCTAATCTTCCGCCCTCTCCTTTAATTCTCCTTATATTGCTCCCTCACTTATGCTTTTGCATCCTCTGACTAATTCAGCAGCTCGCTTCTCCATCGCTGTCTTGTTGTTGTTTCTGCTACACTTCCTTTCCCGCTCCACATCTTCCTTCCTCCCTCCTCGGATATAATCTTTCTGCTTCTCCTACTATTTCATCTGTTTGTTCCTCCACTTGAGCAGTAATGAGACAACAAAAATTCCAACTCCCGTTCAGCTGCCTCAATTATCTGTCTCCCCCAGTCTTTCTCTGTTTTCATCCACCTTTCTCCATCACTCTCTTCTGTTCCCATGTAGTATCGCTTTCACTTCCTTTTACCGTAGAGAATGTCATAATAATGGTTCATCATAGTCTAGATTTATCTTCCTGGAAAAAAATTCCATTACAACCCTACTGTAACCACAAGTGCAGGGGCAATAAATGTAACTACAACCGGCTGTCTTGATTTTTAGTAGATACACCTATAGAATCAATTTGAAACTCCAATGTCGCTTTGTTCTTGAGTCACAAGTTTTTCAGAAAATTTGACCTCTAACCTTGAGATTCAAACTCAGATTTTTAGTAGAAACACCTGTAGTATAAATTTTACGTTGCTTCTTGAGTTATTCTTGAGTTATCAGTGTCACAAACCTGGGTGTTCATGTTGCCTGTCCACCCACCCAGTGTGTGTGTACTTTTCTTACCCACTGGAACCTTCCTCAAGAGTAAATGTTTTATTTGAGTCAAACTTTTGTATGAAATTACTCTTGTTTTTCTACAATTTAAATAGTAATTTTAGTTTTGTTATTGTAAAACCTGTTTCACTACCTGACTTCCTGGAATTTAGGTCACAGCTTTTAGAAACTGTCCTATCCCCTAAAGAAGGATTTTGCATGGAAGAAAGGTGTGTTTTATTTTGGGGTTTTAGTTGTTTTGTTTTTTTCTAATATGGAAGTGTGTTCCTGAAATCCTGAGAAGATAAATTGCATTTACTTGCTCAGCAACAAGTATCGCATATTGGACCAATCCTGTGATAAGTTGTGATGTTTTAATTTAAAGTATTATGAATTAATCTTAGTAGCTTTTGTTATGTAGATTCTAGACTTGTCTTCCAGCACTCACTGACTTATTTATTGCATTCTTAGTTGGTGGAACCTTTAACACCCAGTGGAACGGCACCCAATCAAGCCCAGCTTCGCATCTTGAAAGAAACAGAACTCAAAAGAGTCAAGATCCTCGGCTCCGGAGCTTTTGGAACTGTTTACAAGGTAAAATACAATCAAATGTGAATTAATAGTGACTATTTGCATTTCAGCTTCAAATACTTGCTCTGCTCCTCTACTAAAAAGTGAGATCATGATGTCACATTGTGTTCACATTCTCACTTCATGAGAAAAAGACAAGAGGGACATTGCAGGATCATTAATGACAGGAAATGAGATGGAAGGCTGGAGGCGGGAGATGAAAAGAATAAGTAATAGCAGACACTGAGACCCCTGGGGTGACAGTGAAATAAGAGGTAGCTGAGGTCACCATAAGAGCAATGAAGGGTTGGGTAGAAGTTGGAAAAAAAAAATCTGAAATTAGAAAGAGCAGACTTTCTCTCACTGAAATTATAATTTGTCTTTTTTTGTGTCCACCCATTCTCATTGTAGCACTTTTTTTTTTAGGCCAGAGGTATGTGGCATCAGTGTATGTCCTTTTTCAAAGCAAGGTCTTGCATGCTCTCCTGGGAAATTTCAAGGCACTTCTAGACTTGTAAGGATATGCTGTATAGTCAGTTTCAAGTCTTATAGGTGAGCTATAGAACCCTGACAGGTCTTTTACAGCCAGAAAACATCAGACTTGTACCTAATCTCCATAGCTGAGAGTTCATAGGTTCAGCATTTAGACCAACTTGTAAACTGAGTGCTTTATAGGATGGCTCATACAGCTAAAACACAGTTAGTTAATTAAAGTGTAGCAATATTTAGGTTTATGTTTAATAAAACTAAGGCCTGTTCCTTGATTTGACCCATATCCATAGTTGGTGGCAATATGCCTAACTGGCTCAACTCAGCATTTCACCATTAAGAGAACAATTTGGAGCTATAGATTCTTCTGTCACATGTTCTGTCACAATGTGCAGTTCATGTGTTGCAACCCGCTCATAGATCCCAAGTACTTAAATAAATTAAGAAAGATGTGTGTAGGTCTGTATTAGTGGTGTAGCATAGTGATGGATGGCTAGGTATATGGTATACATTGTATGTGCAAAAAAAAAAAAACTCAAAGGAAAATTCAAAGCAAAACAGGATGACATGGCATGGAGATGGCATAGACACCTTCACAGGAGCAGAGCAGTATAGCAACAAAGGCGAGGTTCTTCTTTAAACAGCTGCACAGAACTCCTCCAACACAAAACACACAAACAAGTACTAATCCCTAAAGCAGGCTGTAACATATGTAAATAATTGCATGTGTTTTCTAAACATTTTAGAATAAAACGGTAAATTCTGTGTATGGATATGTTCTCCTCCTAATGTAAAATATGTCATTTTATTCTGCAGTGTTAGCTGTAGCAGCCCGTTTGCAGACGCAGTTTTAAATAAATGTGTTGTTAATAACCTGAGGTATTTACAAACCTGTAAACCATTTTTTCCAGTTAGAACATCGATGTCCAAGCTTTCATAAAGTGTGCCCTTAAATTATTGTGCTGAATAATGATCATCTGCAGAATTGCATGTAAAAGGGAACATAAAACTGCATCAAATCGATCGTCATTATCACCTTGGATAATTCTTTGATGGGATAGTTGTTTTTAGGCTGAGTGTGAAATCTAGGCCTTGTGTCACTCTGGATGTGTAGTCACATAAGGGTGGAACACATTTTAATCACTTTGAAAAAGTTGAGAGGTACTTTATTTTTCTCCTCTTTCAAATATTCCATCCACTTTGGCAGCTGTTAAATCACTTTAAACCTCCCTAAAATTAGATACTTCAAAATGATTAAATAGTTTTGCCCAAGTCTTTTTGAAGGGCGAAATAACCTTAATCGTACAGCATGCAGTTCATTTTTATAATCAGCCAGTGAGAATATGGAATGTTGTTATTTATAAAGCTGACAAAGTAGAATGTAAAACGCTCAATTTATTGAGATTCCTGCTGTTCCTCCAGGAGTTATAATACTTTTTTTTAAACATCATTTCTGTGAGTAGAGGATTTGTGACTGTGCAATTAGTGTAATGACTCATCATCATGTTGTGTGTGTGTGTGTGTGTATGTGTCTGTGTGCGTTTCTTCTTTAGGGTATCTGGGTCCCAGAGGGGGAAACTGTGAAAATCCCTGTTGCCATTAAAATCCTAAATGAGGCCACAGGACCCAAGGCTAATGTGGAATTCATGGATGTGAGTATCTTGAAAACAAAATCCAAAAAAAGAGACTTGACAATACAATTCAAACTCAGCTTTTATAAAGATAACATATACGCAGGTAAATTGCAAGCTAAATATCATGTAGTTTGTACACCTTTTGTTCCAAAGCCTGTTAGTCACACTGTTTAAAGGTGCTGCAATTTATACATACAGTATGTAAGGTAGTGAACACTGACCTTTTCTTTTAAAGGCCTTTAACCAGCTGTACATTGAATTCGTTGCTGACAAGTTTACTTCAGTTTAGCGCTAAACTAGCCTACAAAAGCACTACACAGATGGTTGTAAAGTGAAATCTCTAACAACTAAAGTTGAACCCCACAAACAGCAGACTAGAAACCATAAAGGGCCTGTAGGAGCCCTACATATGCAGACATACACGCACCATGCCATGGGCTCCTAGCACAGTGCACTAGGCCCCATTTATAAAACATTCACATCTTGGCTCATTTCAAAAGGAAGAGTGAAAAAAAAAATCAAAATTATTACCCTGTGATGATGCAATGCAGATGAAATAACTCATATCAACACACGTACCCATGCACGCATGCACACACGCACACACATTGAAAGCGACCCACTTGCGCTCATGTTTTGCACTTAGTTTGACAGTCTAAAAGGAAGAGTTTTGGAGGGTTAGCATTTCTATTTTTATCACGATGTCTTTGATGAATATCCCATATGTGTTTAATTTATGTTCCAAGTGCTTTGGGAGGTTGTCTGACAATCAGAAAATCAGACAGAGAAATGAGATAACAACATGTAGGGGCAATAGAAACAGTGGAGATAACGTATATAACAGCAGAAAGGCATGTGTCCATGTGGATCTACTCATAAACTTGGTTCATTTTCCCCATAAATAGTTTTGGGGTTTCTTTTCTCTTTTTAAGAATACCTTCCATCACCTCTGTCTAGATCCACAGTCGTCTTCTAATGACTGACTGCTGAGCAGCTGGGGGCTCAAGCTTCTGCTCCAGGGAACACCAGTGGTAGTTACAAAGGGAAAGCAGAGTGCCATTCATTTACTTTGCCATCCATTATTTTCCAGGCAGACTGGGATTTCTGACTGGTGACCTTCTAGCTGCAGGCCACTCAATGCCCCAGTCTCACTTGCCACTGACTGTTTGAAGAATGTCACAGAGAATTGATTGTCTTTCAACATGTGTGTGTGTGGTTGGTTCTGTGTAGGAGTTTGCCACTCCTTACCTGTGGTGCAGTAAGAGAAGGGAACCTCTCTTTTTTTATGGCTAACAATAAAACCCTGTCTCCTTTCAGCAAGTGCTTGGCAAAAGGAAAGGGTGCAGTACCGCCATGTGTGTATCGATCTGCATGCATTTAGGAGTGTGCATGTTTGTGTATCCAATAAGGATAACAGCTAGAGCATGCTATTCCTTTAGTTTTGATTAAAGATAATTAAAATCTTATTTTCTTTTTTATGTTGATAATATTAATGTTTTACTCAGGTATTATTCTCCAAGGCCCTCCAATATATCAGTTTTAATAATGTGAGACATCCATACAATGCACAAAATGCAGCAATCTATAAAGCACTTCTCAACAGTGATCCACAGAAAAGAGAAAAAGTTTCAGTTTAGCTTTTTTTTTTAAACAAATTGTTTTAATATTATTACATACTAATACAATTCTGAAGACTTGTAACTACCTTATTTCAGTTTACCTTCATGACGAGCTACAGAAGTAGCACAAGTTTGTAAAAACAGTGTTTCCTAATGCTTGTATTTAATTGTAACAGCGAAATTACAATTCAGTGGGGATGTAAACTTTATACACTCAGTGTACAAAAAAGAACAACCCCTGCAAATCCCTTTTTGTGTTTTATATAACTGTTATCTCAGCCCAACAGTAGTGCTTTCCAGGGCCTAAAGAGATGTTCACAGGGTTTGTTATTCACAGACACATTCTCTCTCTCTCTCTCTCTCTTTTACAATACCTAACCACAACTACTACTGGCCCTACCTCTCCACCTAATGGCTTTAAAGTCTATTGTCACAAGTCCTCATGTCATGTGTTTTTCAATTAGTATAATTCTTGTATATACTTATTTTATATATAAAAACCTCAAGAAATGCTATTTAGGATGCTGTGGAAGTATTTCGTTTTCTGGATAATAGCTCACAGAAGGGATCTGAATAGGATGCAGGGCTAACAGATTACAGGATAACCCACTGCAGTGCTAAGTAAACACCACAATATAAATTTGCTTGTAAGGAATCCTGCAGGCAGAAAGGAAAAGCCAGTCAGTCAAAGACTTTGGCCTAATTTACCATTACCCTCAGTGTAACTATACCCATCACTGGCATGTAAACAGGGACCTCATTATGTAAGCATTGTGACAGATGAGCCATATCAGTTCTAAAATGTATAGTGGTTGCATCTCTCTGTCAGTGTTCATTGGAGCTTTATGCATTGATTCTCTCCCCAGTAAAAGCAAACAGCCACACCTGCCTGTCTTGTGTATTTTGGCGTATACCTACCCACCCGATGATGAATTTTCAATTGTTGTAAAGTTGCAGGTGACCAAATGAAAGCCTGTTTCTGTCTTTTGGAGAGTTTCTATACCATGGGATTAATAGGGGTCTGTTAGTGTTCATGTTGCCATCATATGCAATATTACAAACTTCAGGTATAGTTGCTTTGAGTCTACATACTGTAGAGTATAACAGAAAGATTTCATAATACACAACATCAGCACAAAGAAACCATTGCTCTGTATTTAAAGGCAAATATTCCTGATTTGCAGCAATCTGACCTTGGTCTATTTACATTTTTTTTTGCTTACTACATAGAATGCTGACAATCTCAAAGTGCGAAGTCACTTTGATGTCAAGGTTTTGAATAAAATTCCACTGTTTTTGACTGAGTGGAACCTTGCTGTTCACTTCAAGAGGAACTTCAACCTTAAACAGAATAAGGGGTCCTATGATCTTTGGCAGTTCAGTCTATGCTGGTAAACATGATGAATTTTCTAGAAGTGTGAGTCTGGCATTTGTCTTCTGACATTCTGACCCAGTACAACATATTGTGAAAAAGGTGCTAGTGTGTATATACAGTGGCTTGCAAAAGTATTCGGCCCCCTTGAACTTTCCCACATTACAGCCACAAACATGAATCAATTTTATTGGAATTCCAC